GACTGAGGGTGTTTCGCCATGCCTACGCCGGTTGCCAAAGGTATGCTTGCTTTAAAGGGTCATTTCATTGTTTCCTTAATGCTTAAACAGCCCTGCTTCTGTTGTATTACCCGGGCGGTGTGCTTATCAGGAAAATGATCATGATCTATGAGCTGCTCGAGCCCGGCTCGATCCGCATCGTCTGTGCGATGATTTCATTGTAGTTTCTTTCTTTTCCCATGTGAAAGGGCTATTCTACGCAAGTGCTTTCAGCTCGGAAGCGGTGGTACTGACCTTTCAGGCATTATAATCACCGTGTCGGCGCTTGTCGCTGCAGGTATCGCGGTTTACGAATCGCCCCAGTTCCGACAATGGGTCAATACCTCACGACGGAAGATCGCCCTGGCGCTCCACCATCTAGGCGATGAGATCCATCCACAAGACGCAGCCGCTCTAAGGCAGGATATCTCGATGACGGAAGAGGTGGGCGCTGCGGCTGAGGAGCGACGGCGGTTAGCGGTGGAAGAGCTTCAGCGGCGACGCAGCGTGCTTGAAGCCCGTCGCAAGACCAGCAACGGAGCCCCAGCGAGCAGCTTTGACGCTCTGGTGGATGATAGTGGCCGGCTTTTGGATAGTCCAGAGCCTCCGGTGAATGATTCAATGGCGAACTCGACGGCGGTGGAAGTGACGACGTCGCAGCCTGTCCAACGCGGCAAGCAGACTGGAACGTCAACTCCTATGGCTGAAATCGATGGTTCAAACAACATCGGGAGTCGCCTACAGATTGCAATTCCGTCCCCTGGCTCTCATACCCCGTCGCTTGTTGAGTTCACACCTACGTCGGAAGCACCGGAAAGGCTTGCGACCTCGTTCCATTCCCAGTTTGGTGAGGACGAACACTTTGTAGGATCGGATAGCTACCATCGTCCCGACACACCTGCATCTAGCCACACCGAAGATTTTTCTCACGTTATCTATGCCCATCCGGAGGATCATGCTGTCAATGGCACTGAGCGGGACCTGAGATCTCCATTTTCAGACCTGTCCGACCTACACTCCGAGGGTCATCACGTTGAGCGCCCATCTACACCGTCTACTGCCGGTAGCTTCAGCCAAATCTATGAGTCTGCAGTGGATGGGTCTGAAGGCACGCTAAGCGACTTTGAGCGCTCCGGTGCAGCTACACCGGCTAGCTGGTCCGAGATTGGCAGCGTTATTAGCAACGACGAGCAGCATCATCATTTGTAGGTATGGGATTGGTTGACTGATATTGAAGGAACTTTTGCTGGACGTATGATCATGGGTAGGCGATAGGGTGTTGAGTTTATTTGGACTGGTTTTGCTTATTCGGGCGCAATGTGGCACTGGCCACCTGTACATATATTGCTTTTTGTTAGAAACACGGTAGCTTTCATCTATTGGGATTAAGATGTAACGGTGATCATCGTCGCCGAGGTTGGGGCACATCGGAGATACCTCCCACTCCTCATAAAATGGCCGAGAGGCAAGGTACTGTTAGTGCTGATCGGCCGTCCCAGAGGGGAAAGAACCTCGGCTGTTCGGCTGGATTGGAGAACCACCGCATTTGCTCCCTTCATTATATCATCCTCCTCTCCCCTCTTCTGCTCCGCTTTCTTCTTATCCTTCTTGATCTTTCAGCATTATCTCTCTTCTCACAGGTACGTATATACTCATCGATTTGTTGAACAGCCGCACCTTGCTCTGGAATACCAGTTTGCGCCTGACAAACTCATCTCCGCTTTCATGCTATCAGCTCCCCCCCAACCAATCCACCTTCCAGAAACTGACCCCTGAATCTTTCAACAGCTACACAGAACACCATGGCAGCAGATCGTCTAAACTCTATCCTCAGTCACCTGAAGCCATCGGGTAACAGCGGACTCGCCGCAATGTAAGCACCAGACCGTTTCCGGCAAACAAACACCACTAATCAGCACCTCCAGTACCCAGAAGAACCCAGACGATGTGGTCATCACTCTCGCGCTGCGCACGCCCCTCGCAAAGGCTGTCAAAGGTGGATTCAAGGACACAGAACTGGACTATATCCTCTATGCACTGTTGAAGGAAGTGCTCTCTAAATCTAAGATCGACCCCGCTCTGGTTGAGGACGTGTGTCTGGGAAATGTGAGCGCCAAATTATCCTCTCTATGGAAACCGGATTGCTAACTTTCATACTATTTATCTAGGTCGGCGATGGCAAAGCAGCCTACCTCGTCCGTGCCGCCTCCCTCGCAGCCGGTATCCCTCACACAGCCGGTGGATCCTCCGTGAACCGCTTCTGCTCGTCTGGTCTGAAGGCCGTACAGGACATCGCGAACCAGATCCAGCTCGGTGCCATTGATGTTGGTATCGCTGTTGGCGCGGAGCTGATGTCCGTTGGTGGCGACCGGTTGCCACGCCCATTCAACGAGGAGGTCCTTCGCAACCAGGAAGCGGCGGACTGCATGCAGCCTATGGGACAGACTTCGGAGAATGTTGGCGCAGACTTCAACATCACGCGCGAACAGCAGGATAGATATGCTGCGGAATCGTTCCGTCGGGCGGAGGAGGCTCAGAAGGCGGGCTGGTTCGATGACGAGATCGTCCCCATTACCACAAAGGTTAAGGACCCGAAGACTGGGGAGGTGAAGCAGGTTACGTTGACCAAGGATGAGGGTATTCGCTATGGTACGACGCCGGAGTCACTGGGCAAGATCCGTCCTGCTTTCCCGCAGTTCGGTAACCGGAGCACGGGAGGTAACTCGAGTCAGGTCACGGATGGTGGTAAGTAATCTTTGTGATGGACGACTTATGGTGGTTATACTGATGATGTGTGTTTAGCCGCCGCCGTTCTTCTCATGCGCCGCTCCAAGGCTATTGAGCTGAACCAGCCCATCCTGGCCAAGTTCTGCGGTGCCACCGTCGCGGGAGTGCCACCCCGGATCATGGGTATTGGTCCCACCGCAGCTATCCCTAAGCTGCTGTCCCAGTTCAACTTGAACAAGGATGACATCGACATTTACGAGATCAACGAGGCTTTTGCTTCCATGGCTGTCTACTGTCTCAACAACCTGGGTCTGGAGCACGCCAAGGTGAACCCGCGCGGTGGTGCCATCGCCCTCGGCCACCCGCTGGGCGCAACGGGCGCACGCCAGATCTGTACGATCCTCAGTGAGGCGCGACGGACGAAGAAGAAGGTCCTGGTGACAAGTATGTGTATTGGCACGGGCCAGGGTATGGCTGGTCTGTTTGTGAACGAGCAGTTGTAGATGTCCAAAATATGATATCATATCATGTCATTTCATGTCATTAAATGCTGGTGTCGGAAAGGAGTATATACCAAGATGCTACGCAAATTCAGAAACTATACAAAGAACCACTTGAGCCACCATTAATCAAGACCTCCCCTCCCCTTCCCTCTCCCTCGCCCTCTTCATCCTCTCCTCCGCCGCCTTGGCCAAAACCTCCCTCCGACTCTCTCCCCTTCCACCTCCACTACCACCACCCCCACCAAGCACAAACTGCCCCCCAGTCCACCCCTTCTCATCAACCACCAACCCATGCTCCCTAACCCCTTCCCAATCCCCAGGATTATAGAAATCCTGCTCCCCAACGGTCCTCCCACTCTTCGTCCAATCCCCCCTCTCAACCTCCTTCTCAATCTGGCTCGTCAAATCCCAAAAATCGCGATCATGCTCACTAAACACACAATGTGCCAACTCATGACACAGCGTCTTCCGTATCGTGCGATAATCCCTATACCCATCATACGCATCGGTCCTCAACCTCAACTCAATAACCTCGCCCTTATTCCGATTCAACCCCAACGTCCTCGACTCGCTCGTCGTATGCTCAGCGGGATCCATCTCCGTCAACAGCGGCACAGAGAACTTATGCTTCTGCATCGCGGACTTAATCCCGGGGTCGTCGCGAAGGCGCTCAAGGAACGTCAATGATTTAGAAGGGTTCGGAAGATGCGGGAGCGGAACACATCGGTGGAAAGTGTAGGAGCCGCTGCCGTTGGCGCTGTTGGAGAGAGTGTGGATTTTGCTAACGTTAGAGGAGGTGCTGGAGGGAGTGGGTTTCGCGGCGTAGAGACGGTGCGCGCGATCGCGGGCTTCAGCGCGGGCTTTGAGTTCGGTGCCGTGCGTGTTGAGTGATTCGATGTCTCGTGGGGGTGTGCCCAGCAGGGTGAGTTTGAATTTGGGGGAGGTGAGGGGGAGGAGGTCTTGCAGGGGGGTTGGTGGGAATGGGTGTTTGAGCATTCCTGGGGAGGGGGAGATGAGGAGCTTTTGGTGGGTTGGCGGGATTTGCAATGTTGAGGAGATGAGTTCTGTTAGGTCTGTGAGGGTGCTGGTTGTTGGGAGGGTGAGGGGGTGGGAGGCGTTGCGGTGGTGGATTTGCAGGGTTAGGGTGTCCCCTGTTGGGGTTTCGGAGTCGGTCATGGTTGCTGGTGGATGTGTGAGGGTGGCGCGTGAAATGAGGGGGTGTTTATGGGGGAGAAAGTTGGATTATATACAGAGAGGAAGAAGTGGTGATGATCTTCGATGGAGTTCGATCTTGTTTTGTCAGCGATAAGGCGATAAGCGTGGTTTGTTGTATCACGTGGTGATAGGGTTGATAAGGTCTAGTCGATTAAGGTTAGTATGGTTTCACCTTTTTTTACTGGTATGTAATGGCAGGGCCCCTGGTACTGGTGCCTCAGGTAGCGAGCAGATCGTCGCTGCTTAATTTCGGCTGGTCCGCGTCTGTTTGGCGTTGAGAGATGCTGTTTGGGATTGATCACCCCGCGGGTCATACTTTGTTACAATTGTACTACGCCTGATTTAGCTCGTGCAGATTGTTGCAGAAAGATTGTATGACCACTAGATTGACTCTGCAGAACGCTGACTGTCCATAACACCGCCTGTACCCTGAACTCCGATCCATATATGATTATATACCAAGAATGACCATGACACCATCCGATGATGCACTTATGACAGTCGATAACAAGAAAACTATGCAGCCAGATTGGCTGGCTCACTCATACTGCCGGTCGTCCATTGCGGCTGGCACATCCAGCACCCACTCTTCGAGTTCCGGGTCCCACGTATGACTATCACATGTCAGCATGAGGCAACTCTCGGTTAAAGCGATTCACTTACTTATGAAATTGCGTTTGAGTCAACGCTTTCTTTGTATACTCCTCTGTTAGCACCCCATCGTACCTGAAGGGCACCTTGGCTGGCACGCCCTCAAACGTCGATCTCCGCAGTGGGTATATATCGTGGGTCTGATATTTGTGCCCATTTTTGCACTCCCATTCTGTGGGCTTCTCGGCCGTCAGTCGACTCAGCCCTGTGATATCGATGTATAGCCCCGTGGTGATGTCGATCCAGCGCGCATCGATTATATTCAGCCCCATGCCGCGATCACGTTGACGCGCCCACGGGTTTATATCCAGGAGGTACCGGCGCTCGACGTCGGGGTCGGTAGTGGTATACTGTACAATAGTCTGGTTGAAGTGGTCGGCGAGATGGACTAATGTGGTATCCATGACTTGAGTGTCGATGTCCCAGTCCCAGGGCATGATCTGAAAAGAAAAAGGGTTAGACCGGCCGAAACTAGCCATGTCTGGTGCATCAGGAATAGCCCACCTTGCCATTCCACCACCATCCCAGCAATGTTCCATGCGCAATCCATGTTTCCAGTCCATTATCCTCGAAGAAGTTCAGATATGCTCGGATCATATGTGTCAATGTGATAGATCGCTCCGCGTCCGGAACCGGCTCCCCCTGGAAAAACCGCGAGTCATAGTGACCCAGGGTATCGTCACGACCTGGCTCATGGAAATATTTGAACTCGTCTGACTTGTTCAGCCCGTACTTCTGCCACAGCGGGTCGGGGTCATTGCGGTTTACAAAACTGCCGTGATTGCTCTGCTCTGCGGGGCTGGGGCGTGCTGTGGCCACCGCTGACCAGATCGCGCAGGTGAGGACGGCCAGCAGGCCCCGAGGGTTCATGTCCGGCGGCAGATGTCAACGTTGTATGTTTGAAAAGGGTTGTTGAATAGTTCGGGAGGTCTATCATGCCCCTGCTTGCATGCTGGACCAGGTAGGCGGTGGATGGGTGAGTATGAGCAGTGATTCGGTCGATGCGGGGGATCAGAATAGGGCTGCCAAGTCGTTGCTCGAATGCGTTATAGCCGCATACGTCGAACCATTCAAATCGCGTGGTGCATCGGACGAGAGAAAAGAAGGCCACCGGTGCTAATAATGAGAGCAGCCAAGTAAGTACCAGCCCGACTCGACACGCCAATCAGGCATGGACAAGACAGGGGGGGAAGATAGACGGAGGGGGGGAGATACAAGGGAAAGGGAAAGGAAGATCAGGAGAGAAAAGCACGGGGAACGGTTCTTGATAGTCCGACTAGACAGGCTTCGAGAACCACACGAGCCCGCAAATCAAACCGGAAGATCCGACGAATCCGTTCAGTTCAACACGACGGGAAAAAGGCACCTTTGGGGGACAGAGGGAAATTTGGTTAAGGCCGAGGAAGAATAGAATCAAATACGACTCCGTACGAACGGGGTGACTTCAACCAGCCAAGCGGGGCGACATTTGGGAGATCCACTGAGGACCCTCATTAGATAGATTATTACATTGGCGCATTGGGAATAGGCCTTGGACCCTTTCCGTGGATGACGCTCTGCAGGTCCGGATCGGCAAGGATAACAGCCATGACGACAGGGAGCTGGTTGGCTACTCTGAGAACGCCTGGCATGCCAATGCTCCATTCCCATGAGGACAAAGAGAGAGAGCTACTTGCGATACTTGGTAGGGAAAAGTGTCAGGATGGATGGTCTCCTCTCTTCTTGGAATCACGAGAGTAATAGTTCCTAGGCAACCATTAAAGAATCCACCGAAAGGAGACGGCGCTCCATAATTGATTGATTGATTTTGGCCGAATTCAGGGCAGAAAGAGAAAAAAGAATCGGGTCTCGCGTGCCATCTTTCCCGACGTGTCTTTGGCTCTGTTTTTTTCTCCCTCCCTCCCCACTTATCTTCCTCCCAGGGATGTTACGGCTTACATACGGGAACGCCTTCCGTACCATCCGCTTACCGTATCACCAACCAGCATCAGCAAAGCAGCCAACTGATTCATTCATATGATTCATAGGGCTACACGCACCTCTCGGTCTCCCTGGTCGTAATGTCCATTGTGTCTAGTCAGCACAGCACAGATGCAGGATGGCTTTGGCTAATTATCCGTGCCACGGTGACACCATCTTGAAAATCTCCCCATTGTGTTTTAGTGTCCGTGTCCCTCCCTTCCCTGCAAGCAGGGCAACTCGGAGGTCGGACGGCTGGTTCTCAGACGATGACCTGCAGTGTTGAAACCCCCCTAAAGCACAAGGGGGGCACTGTGTTGGCACGAATCATACATGGGATTCCGCTCCTAGTATGAGGCCAAGACAGAAGGATGCTGAGGCCAAGAGACATATTAATAATGTCCAGCGAGATCGATACATCATGCACCTCGTAGGGCAGAAAAATGCCCTACAAGTACGCCCTGCATTATCGACCAGCAACTACTGGATACACAACCATCGAGGCTAACCATCCTTGCACTGACTCGAGTCAGGTCCTTCTATATACATGCTTACGAGTATATCTCCCTCCAACTTCTACCATCTATCCGCCCCCAGATTAAAATAATTAATCAAAGATGGAATGAGTACTAGACTCCGCTACCGGGGTATATGTCAGAATCTTATCGCGCACCTGAAACAGTCGGGTTGCTTCCAGAGAGTTAACAAAAGTTGATGGTCAGTGGTAAGTAGTACATACCACCATCGTACAGCATCAATACACCCACCCCTAATTCCCAATACCGTAACGAATTGCCCCTTATTCGGAAGAACCAAGGTTGCTTTCCACCATCAGGTTAGGTTAACCCCCTGGACTTTCTCGACTAGTCCGTCCCCACAGAAATGCTACTTTAGTCTTGATGGCCGAACCCAAGCAGTACCAATTCGCTCATTCTCTCCGACGCATCTGAGCGGAAGGGAACAGGACCCTGCCAATCTCGGAGCTATCAATTTCCTCCGTGTAGGTATTGGTTGTTGCCTACCTACAAGGGGAGAAAAGAGGAGCGGAGTGTTCACCACTTCTAATTTGACTGACCTATCAGGTAGTCAACTAATTCGGTTGCTGAGACTCGTTAAAAGAAATATGCCAAGGAGCATCTAATAGTTGGACAGGTCTGTCTGCCAAGGGGTGGGAGTAATTGGTGGCATCCGGTGATTCCGCTCGTACTCGTTTTGCATGGATTGTTTTGGGGGGAGGGATCAGACCTTCATGCCGGTCACTTGACTAGTCTGTTTTCAGCTATGCCAAGCCTACTGTTGGGTCACATGATGATACTCAGGGTCTTGGATTTCTTGGTTCGGTAATTTCATAAAATTTCCCGCTTACCAATGCTTTATGTTCATTCGTTACTGCATAGCCGAACTATGTGCAAACCAGGCATATACACTCACCAACTTCCAGTTCATGCTTCCCCCATCAGCGACTGTAACCTGGCCATCTGCCAATATTCACCCTCGAGTTGCATCAGTTTCTTGTGGCTACCTCTTTCTACAATCTGCCCATGCTTGAATACTAGGATCTCATCAGCATCGACAATCGTCTTTAGTCGATGGGCAATAGCGATGACCGTTCGCCCTTTCATCACACGCTGAACTGTCCTCTGGACTAGTTCCTCTGAGGCGGAGTCCAGGGCAGAGGTTGCCTCATCAAGTAGACTGATAAGAGTCAATTCCGCTGATCAAGGGTTTTGCTATAATAAGGGGCACTTACAGAATCTTTGGTCGACATAGAAGCGCCTTCGCGATGGCCATGCGCTGGCGCTGCCCCCCAGACAGGGTCGATCCGTTCGCCATGATGGGGGTGCTTAAACCTTGAGGGAGTGACAGCTGACACAAGAACCGAAATAGTCAGACTTTGTAACAAGGGGATAGGAAGAGTTGAGAACGCCTACCACAAAATCGGCTAACCCAACGTCCTTTAGAGCGGCCAGAATCTCGGCGTCTGATACAACCAGCTCACCACTCTGCAGGCAGTCGCGCAGGTCTTCACCAATCAGACAAGGGCTTTGGTCGACCAGTGCTAGATACCCTCGGTAACTGTCGAGGTCATAGTGTTCAATGGACATATCATCTAGTGCTATTGCGCCAGATTCGCTGGGATAGAAGCGCTCCAGCAAATTTATCACTGAACTCTTCCCGCTGCCTGTAGCACCAACAAGAGCAGTGAAGGCACCCGCTGGCACATCGAGACTGACGTCGTTCAAGGCTATCCGAGATTGATGGCTTGGATATCTGAAGTTGACGCGTCGCAGCGAAACGTTTGCGGTGATACTTGGCACGTTAGCGTTGCCATTAGTCAGTTTTCTGTGGGCGGCTGACGATATTCCGGCTTGCATCAGCTTCTCCAGTCGAGCAGCAGCAGCTTCAGAGCCTACAATGTCAGGAGCATGTGCTAAAAGCACGGACGCAGACTGAGATCCCCACATTGTGGCTGCAAAGCAGATGAAGAATTGCTGGACATTGTATTCGCCAGTCGCGATCAGGTGTGTGCCGCCGTACCAGAAAACGAAAGCGATGCTCATCACGCGGAGGGAAGTGGTGCACGCATATGTCGCGGCAAACATGAACCAGTATTTGCCTTGGCTGTCTCGAAGACTTTCACTTTCGAACGATGCGCTGATGGTCCTCTGCAGACCAAGGACTGTTACAGTCTTGATGGCAGAAAGAGCTTCATGTGCAATGGCCACAGCACCAGTATCGCGCGTGATGTGTTTTTGTACCTGCGCCACTGCATGGTATTGCATGAAGCTGGAAAAGACTACTAATGGGACCGTTGCTGTCGCAGCAAGACCAAGCTTCCACCCAAAGCTACATCCGATGGTAATTCCTGTTGCGAGCATGACAATGCTTTCAGCCACAAGCCCCAGTGATGTTCCCGAAATGCCAGTGATTTGCCGAGGTCCAGATGCAAGGAAGCTGACCAATGCACCAATCGAGTTGTCTTTGTCCTGGAAGAAGGGGAGATCGTTCACAATCAAATGCTTAAACAACTGCGAGCGGGCTCGGAGAACCAACCGTGATGCTGACACGGCAAAGCAATATCCCCGTACAGAGTAAATCACAAATGCGATAATACCGAGGGTAAGATACATAGAGGCCCAAAATTGAACATTATGTCCACCGGTACTGAGGTCAGGATTGATCATTGACATGATCCCGTTACCGAAGAAGATAGCTTGAACCGGATATGATATTCCAGCCAAAACGCTGAAGCTCACGCCAGCGACTGTATATGGCAACTCTGGTCTATTGAGGCTCCAAACTCGCCTGACACTGCTACTGGACGACCGTACTGCTAATGGGCAGTCCTCTGGCATATTCACCATATCAGAATTGACCAAGGTATCTTTGGAATATTCTTCATGAGCGCCCAACGAATGAGGCCTTTGGCTGATAATAAGCCTGTCGTCCTCTGATCGTTGGGGTGTTTCAAGCGCCTGATATCTCACTAATTCTCGGTACATCGCAGATGTACTCAACAACTCTGAATGGGAGCCCTGACCTAGGATTTGACCGTCCTTCATGACGATGATTTTGTCGGCATTCTGGACTGTCGACAGCCGATGGGCTATTATTAGGGTAGTTCGTCCTGAGGCGGCGTTGTCCAGCGCCTCCTGCACTGCTTTCTCACACCGACTGTCAAGTGCAGCTGTGGCCTCATCCAGCAGTAATATTGCTGGCTGAGATATGATTGCGCGGGCAATAGCAAGACGCTGCTTCTGGCCCCCTGAGAGATTTGATCCATGTGCCCCAACTATGGTGTTGTACTCTTCGGGCAGACTCGCAACGAAGTCGTGAATTTGGGCAACTTTGGCCGCCTCGATTACCAGCTTTCGTATCACGTTTGCGTCCATATCCTGCATCACAAAATCAGTATAGAAGACTGAGAGGCAGAAGATGATAGTTTTGAAGCACCTCAGCTGCAGCTTCGGGAAGCCCATATGCGATGTTATCGAGTATTGATGCACGGAACAAAGTGACGTCTTGACCGACATACCCAATCTGCGACCTTAGCCACGAGACATTCATGGCATCAATTGGCTCGCCATCCAGCATGATCCGACCGCTGTGAGGATGGTACAGTCGTTCCAGAAGGGCAAACACG